TACGGTCGCGTAACGCATAACGCTCCGCGAGACTGAACGTAAGGTCGCTTTAGTACAGTATTCGATAGCGAGGGGCGGAGGATGCACCCACCATCCAGTACGGTATTAGCGCTCCCTATCCCCGCATTCGCGACCATCTATGCTCCAGTTAGACCCGCAAATATCACATCTAGCCGTAAATGACACTCACAATATCAACACTCCCCAAGCTCCCCGCAACCTCACCCACCAACGTCACCACCTCACCCTCCTTCGTCACGTCCGTATAAAACGCAGCAGACCGCCTCCCCAGCGCCTCGACCTCCCGCGCCGTATCGTATACCCTGCTCCCGCGCATGTCCGCAACGGCGACATCGTTCCCGTCGCGACTCAGGCGGAGCGCGATGCTCTTGCCCATTCCGCGCGCGGCGCCACGCGCCGGGCGGGGAGTGTGAAGCGGATGGCCATGGAGGTCGATAGATGGTTTCGAGTGGTGCGTATTCTCGATAGTGAGTGATCCTATGACCTGGATGTGCGAGGAAGAAGCATGATGAGTCGGGGACGGCCGAAGGTTGGGCGCGGTTATTGTAGAGCAGCCCGTAACAGGGGCGCTCGCACTAAGGTTCACGCGAGGAACTAAACAAGATTCGTCTGTATTGTTTAGAGGAAGGTGCCGTAGAGGCGGGAAGAAGACCAGAAACTAGTAAAAGGTGAGGAGACGAGACGGAACGTGTGAGGTATAAGTAGTACATGTGAGTATGAATACGAACATGTCAATGTGAAATGGGAACTCGTAGGTAATGCTGTAAGCGTGAGCTTACACTCTCCCCCACTCAAAAAAATCGAGCCGGTAAGCGAAAGTGGAGCAAGCAGAGCAGATGAGCGGTGAGATGTGGAGAGAGAAAAAATGAGAGACCGAACGAGCGCTAGAGACGAGAAGTGCGAGGAGGGTGTTAAACAAGAAGTGTTAGGTAGAAGCCGTTGTATGACGGGGGGTACGAGAAGGCGGGATAGGAAACGGGTTCATCAGAAGTAACGAAGACGGCCGCGGCGGGCGCGTCGTCAATGGCAGTGGTAGTGTGCGGGGCGGAACGGGCGGCCTTGCGACGTTCCCAGACGTCAAGAACCTCGGTGTCGCGGAGAGCGGTGCCGGAAAGCCATTCCATGTCGGTGTCGCCGTAGCCATCCCAGCGGACTTTGTACTGCATGCCTCGGCCGCGGCGGCGCTCGGCGACGATGTCACGGAGTTTGTGTTCGCCATTGGCGAGGGGACCGGGGCGTTCGAGGACGTGATCGGGGGCGAGGTCCGGGTCGGGTTCGACATAGGGCTTGATGAGGCTGGAGTGAAAGACGAGGCAAGCTTTGGGCGAGGCGTTGGGTATGTCGAGGGTGTAGTTGGATGTGTCAGGATGAGCCTTGATGACGCGGTAAGGGCCGTCCCAGCGGGGAAAGAACTTTGCCGCGCGGTCTTCGTCGGCGGAGACGAACTCGCGGCGACGGTGATAGGTGGACAGCATGACGAGCGAACCCTCGGTGATGTCCTCGTGTTCGGCCGAGCGTTTCTTGTTGGCGGAAGCGGCTTGGTTAGCCTTGGAGACGAGGAGGTTGTCCTGAGCGTCGGCGAATTGGCCGGCGATGCGCTGGATGATCTCGGCGGCGGAGGCGGATTTATCGGCGCCGAACTCGGCGGCGCACTGTGCGGCGGTGGCCGGGTCGAGGATAGGTGGTAGAATGCGGGGCCGGCGGCCGAACATGAGTTGGAAGGGCGCATAGCCCGTGGACGCGGAGACTGTGTTGAGGATAGCGAAGCGGACGGTGGGAAGGGCATCAGCCCATCCGTCTTGGAGGTGGTCGACGTGGTGGCGCAGGGCTTGACTAGGGAGTGGCCACCGCTTGCGTGGCGGGTACGGGGCATACGGGAAGTTGTATCACAAAGCCAAGTCGCAAGTCCTGTGCGGCCCCATGCAAGGCATGGCCTGTCATTTTTGGGTTAGCTGTAATACGAAATCTCATGAGCACGCAACGACGGTCACAGAACTAAATGACATTTATTCATGATCTCTATAACTAACATAGTAGCATACATACACGGACATAAACTACCATGACCAACGAAAAGGCCTAGTTCGTACGTGCAAACAATGGCGGCGCGAAGCGCCGACAACGTGGCCATACTCAGCATCATTCGAATGTCGCGAAGCGACGTCCCGTGTACAAAAGCGACGCAGGGACAGCAAGGCGATGCGTATACACTAGTCACGAAGGCGCAATGCGCTGGCACCCTGCGCAATGCGCGAGCAAACATCGCGGAGTGACATATTGCATGCGAAAGCATAAGCAGCAGCAGCGCGCAGTGCTGCATGGCGGGAGCCGAGCCGATCGCCAGCCCTGTCGCCTCGTGGCGTTGCCATGTCACGGGCGAGAGCGCGAAGCGCGGCCTGGGCACTACGCGCGCGAGTTCTGTCCACCGTACGATGAATTTCGTCAGTCGAGTACCCTCAGACGACTACGAAACACGTACCGCGAGTGTGCACAGTCAACGGAGCGTTGACGGGCTCATCGGGCGGCTGTAGTTTTTGCAGGTACGTCTCGTTGCTCGCGTGAGGACAGGCGGCATGAACGAGCACTACGAGCGCGTGACGTACCTAATATTCGCCATCACAAGTCCAGAACGGACGTTGGCGCGAGCCTGACGAAGACGATAGCCTGGGCGAGTCATATTAAGACGAGACGGGACCCGAAGACGCGGACGACGAACCTCGCGCGCTCGTCGCGATATGCATCCAGGTGACGATGCATGTGCTGCCGCCCAATATCCATGAGTAAGATACCTGTGCAAAGAATTAGCGTCTATACGTGTAAAACTCGTCGCGACGCACCTGGAGCCCCGGAGCAAAGAGCGGGGACACAGCTACCGCGCAATCAACCACACCAAAAGCCAGAGTGGGCGTGAGTAAGGGGCCTGCACTCAGGCGGCCATAGGCTTGAGGAAGACGAACGGGATAGGGAGGGAAATAGCGAGAGCGAGGAAGCGGGCGGTGATTGGGGGAGGATGAAAAACGCAAGTCGCAATCGCGCTGACGCGTCGGGTCGGGAAAGGTCAGAACTGACGGGCTAATCGGCATTTGCCGACAATCCCGGACGCGCAGATGGCGCGACTTTGCGACTCGCGTTTATTGTCCCCTTCGCCCACAACCATCCTCTGCCATCCCCCGCTGTCGTCGTCTACACCGTCGCGCTCGTCATCCTCACCGCTTTCTCCTGCCGGTGGTCTCGTTACCCACTGCAGCCTCTCCACGGTCGCGCTGCTAGGCTTGGCTGTGCAGCGCGCCCGCTTCGTGCTCTTCTCTTGGAGCTCCCGTAGTCGGTACGCCGTCCCGCGCGGCTTCAGTGTGGTTCGTGTGCGGGTGCGTTACTTGTTCGTCGATAGAATGACTGTCGCTGACTAGTTACTAGAACCTCGCGCGTCTCGTTTCTGTTTCCGCCGACTTGATTCGATTTCGTACGCTATCGCCCGCCCTCGCGCGCGTCGTTGGGTACCGGTGGGCCCCTTAGTTTTATTTACTCGCGCCCTACCTTGTCCGCTCTACCTGGTCCAATATCCTGCTCTCCCCGTCTGCCCTCCGTTCAGTCCCCTTGTTCGCACTCGCACTTTGTATTGTTATAGAGCAAGATATGTAGTATATAATTATTTGAATGGATGATCCCCTATGTTGTGAATCTCGCCGTGACTGCGCTCGGCGAGCACGAATCCTTTGGCGATGTTCGGAAGCCGACGGACGAGCCTTCGGGGCTGTCAAAATCAATAAATTGATTTGTCGGAACAAGAGGCAGTTCGGAACAGACAAGTGTAAACATACACAGATGTTCGGAATGTTGCACCCCTACGACTGCCATAGTAGTTAGCTGGCCACAAGGACAACTACAGTCCTATTTGCTTGACACCTCAAGCCTCGCTGCGCTCGTCTCTCGGTGTCAAGCTCAGTGCGAGCGCGAAGCGCTCGCACTGGTTGACCAGATTCAACGCTGAGTATATTGAAGTGGGATGGATGGAAGTTGGACACAAGTGGATGCATGATGATGCTTGTGTACAACCCGAGCAGATGATCTGTTCGGGACTCGGGCCTTTGATCCGATATCAGACCCGATCATCACCGGTGAGTCATGGTCATGACAAGCAAATCACTGTTTCCTTGCTTTAGAGCCAAAATGTACTGTCCAATACAGGACCTGCCACATGACATTATACTACAAATTTTATATGCACAGATAGATACGAGCTAGCCCACCAAAATTACGGAAGAAAATTTGGAGGGACACTATTATATACAGTACAAGGG